CTAGAACTGATATAGGGCAATTTGTTCAGCAGAGTGATGTAAGCTTCGTTATGATTGCATCATCCATGACTTCTAGGAATAACATGATGCAATTCATATAATGTATGACACAATACCAGCTTTAGATTGCATCATTCATTGTTTTGCCTAAAAAGCAAGTACTGTCCAAACCCAGTCATAGATTTATTCATAGATCCAGTCAAAGATGTATTTTAGTCATTTCTGGTTTAAATTGAGATCCCTTCCCTTTATAACTCACTTATCCTCCGCCATTCCCAAGCCAAGGGTCGTATATACTAACCCAATAGCATATCTTGAAAACTAGAGCCAATCAACAATTTTAAGCACCATTTTCGTTCTCAGTGACCCAGAATTAGTAACGTTTGGCTACATTTATTTCAGAAGCATTTTGGCTGTAGAGCAGTGTAATCACAGCATGGGCTGGGTAGTTTGCTCAGCTCTGGTCCATCAGTCTGAGAACACAGGACTTCAGACACCAGCACTCTCAACGCAGCACCTTTCACCCAGGCTCCCAGCTCTTTCTAAACAGTTGGTTACCAGCCATTCATGTGAAATGCAGAGTGCCTGTGTAAACCTAGGACTGGCTAACCAGGGTCCCTCCAGACCAGTGTGTGGCTCCAGCAGTTGCCTAGACCAGCTGCTTCACAGGAAGGTGCAAGAACCCCCCTTTTGGATCAGATGACACCAGAATAACCTGTGCCTAAGGAAAGTTCTTTCCCAACCATCAGTAGCTAGCTGAGGCCCTAGAACATGGTCATTAATTTCTCCAGGATTTCACTGAGGATTTTCCCACCATTCAGGGAAGGGATTGCATGTCTTCACCATTTTCAGCAATGAGAAAACAGTCCTCCCTCCCCGCAAAAAAGCCACTTGGCCTTATAATTTATGGTCCTAGAACACACCAGCATCCTTTTCTCATACTTACCTGTTTCACTAGCATAATTGAGGCCATAAGAGCTATGACACCCCCTATTGGCAGAGGGTTAGGGTGACACCTGAAGCATGCACAGCTCAGCTTCTCTGCCCTGTGCACTTCCCCATTTAACCCTGTCCACGAGGATTGTCATGCAAGAAATACAGTGCTCCCCCTCAGCTGGAGACTTTGTATTTGTTCTTCCTTCGTCCATTTTCCCTAATGTAGCATAGAAGCCTCCTTGATGGGAAATGCATGCTTTGTGAATGGAAAGCAACAGTCTGCCACCTCTGCATGAGGAAGCTATAGCAGTATGGATCTTTATTATTATTTATATTACTGTAGCAGCAAAGAGCCTCCATCACAGTTCAGGTTGCTGTTGTGCAAGATGCTGTACAAAGACCTGTCCCAAAGATCTTGCCATCTAACTACACGACAAGAGATTAATACAATGAAAAACTGACATCTAAATAGATCAGACAGAGCTGGGGGAGGGGGAGAACACAGCAGCAAGTGACCATGTGATGGCAGTAAAGGATAGGTTAGTTCCACAGTGGGAGGGTTGGAGGGGGTTAGTTAGCAAGGGATAAGCTACATAGAAGAGAAGGGGGGGGACGACAGACAGGCAGGGTGGACTGAGGCTGAGGTGAAGGAACTGAAGGGGGGGAGGGGAAAGGGTTGGAGGAACATGGAGCAAATTGCTTCTGCCCTCTGCTGATCAGCTATCAGAACTTGCTGCTTTTGAGTGGAGTGTCCCCAGCTCCCTGCACTAGCTGTGCCTCTGCTTGCTGGGTCAAGCCTCAGGCTGGCTCCTCTCTGCAGTTTTCCCTCCAAGACCACATGGCAAAGGGGAGGAGAGACATGACACTCACTACCACAGAATCTGGGGGACACTAGGGGTAGATTCGTTGAAATTCGGAGCCTAAATACCTTTGAGGATATGGATGCTGTGTCCCCAGGAGTTTCCCCTGCACAGTTCTGGGTCCAAAATCACCAGCCTGGCCAATGGGAAAGGGAAGAATGTGCTGTTCAAAAGGATCCCCCTCTTCCCTCCCCTCATACATACACTTTAGCATGCAAGGTTCCCTGAAGGAGAGCTGGTATTTGTGACACTCCCTTGCCCAGCTGTACACCTGCACTGCTCTGCCTCTGCTGGTCAGTTTTGCTGCCCCAAAGCACCCTGACTAAGCACTGCCAGTCAGGACTCATGCCAGCTTGACAGACCAGAGCTCAGCAACACACCTCTGCATTAATACTGATTTGTTGAATCTCTTCAAAAATTCAATGACTCATTCAATAGCTGCCTAAAACCAGACCCCCACCCCACCCCCCAGAAAGCTGGGATGACTTTACACACAACCTCTGGGTTATGAAAACCCATTGATCCATGGGTACTGAACTTCCACCTGGGGAGGGGCAGCCCTGTGCAAGCCAGCTACCCCCTGCCTGCAGCCAGAGGCTGGGGCCATGGCCACAGCCTCCTGCACAGCAACTCCCCTTCCAGCCTCAGCACAGGCATTGCCACATATAGTCAAGCAGCCAGTCTCCTCCCACACTGGTTGGGGCATTTAATGCAGCTCAGAGGGGCCCAGGACAGAGCAGGCCTTGGAGACTGAACTCTGCTCATAGCTGCATGGGTGCAGCTCAGGGAAAGCCTGCCACACACATTGTGGGGCACAGGGATACTTTACTTTCAGAGGGACAGAAAACTGCAGGCTCCAGGGCTGGCAGCTCAGGACCTAGCACCATTGTACAATGCACACTGTTTAGCCTCTTCTGCAGCGTCCCTAAGGTGGCCAAGGGCTAGCAATAGAGATTATCCTGGGCATGTGAGGCAAGAGGGAATCTGAGTCGCCCTTAGCAAACCACGTCACCCCACTCAGACTCACCAGTTAGCTCTGCAATTGCCCATCTCCTGGCTCTCTTCACAGTTGGAGACACCCCCCTCCTGCTGGGGAGAGGCCGTGGGCAGGTTCAGAGCCACCCTCTTGCCCTCAACACTCCCATTGATCCAGAGTGTCCTTTGGCATAGCCCAGTTTTGGATCTGAGCTTTGAAGCTTGGCCTCAGTCTGTGGGTAGCCACCATTGTTTCCTGGGTGCATAAGAGGGGCACCCCACTGCTCCAGCTGCTGGGCATGTCCCTGTGCCTGGTCTCTGTGCTAGCTGCCATGCCTTCCTAGCTATCCCAGGAGTAAATCTCCTCACTTGCAGAGAGACTGTTTAGGGATCTTTGCCATAGCATTCCATGGCATGGCCTTGAGATGGTGGCCAAGAGTCCACATGCCAATGACCTCCAGGGAGATGAAAGAATAGTGCCACCCAGAACACCTTCCACTTCCAGAAACACAAAGCTCAGCAGACCCTCTGCCAGGGAAGCAGTCACTGACTATAGTGTCTAACTAGAGACAGCAGCCTTGGAATATGCTGAAAGGGGAAGATTAGACAGGGGCCTGGACTCCGCCCATGGGAGCTACATAGCAAGATAGGGGTCTATTTAAGAAGATCAAGATAGAGCCTTGCTTGCGTGAAGTTGTCTGCCCCCAGACTTGGATTCTTAACCCACTCCTTGCCCAGTGGAAATCTGCTACATTAGGGGTGATTAGAAAAACCTGCCACTAGAGGAGGACAACAGGTCCCCCCCACCCAAGAATAGGCTACGATTCTCTTTAGCAAAACAGACCAATTTATTTACATAAACATTTAAATACAGCATATAATAAATAGAAAAGATCCAGGCTGTAACAGGAATTCATTAGATTATGGCAGGCTACAATCCATTCACAGAAAAGAAAGAAGTGAAAGCCAAGCAGCTGTGTAACCAGAGTTCAGTAGAACTGGGGGACACTCAGGTTGGTGCAGCAATAGGCAAAGAGGAAAGACTAGGAGAAAGGTCTCTGGACTCTGCTTCTAAGGTGCTTCGAGCCAAAGGGAAAAGAAAAGAAAAAGGTTGCACTAAAGACTAAAATCTCATCCAAGTTGATCTGGGGGAGTGATGGGTTTCAGGTAGTTCCAAGAGAGTCTAAAACAAGTGTCTAGTAAAGGAGGGCAATTTACTAGCGATCCCAGTGACAGGGGATTAGCCAGAACTTGCTGGAGGCCTTTCGTGACCAGGCCCTCGTGCTAGGAGATGAGTTACATCACAACTTCATCAGGCCTTGCAAGGGGTTGCCTTTTTAAGCTTTAAAAAAGTTTAGCACTTCACTTGAAGTGTTCCTTTCAGTTCCTAGAGAAGGTCTTGTAAAAACCTCCTTCCCCCCCCCCCCCAAAGCCATGGCCCAGAAGGACACAGGGCTTTGTGAAAGTGACTTTCCAGATCCTGCGCTCCACCCTCACCATGCATTGTCTCTAGAGCCCTCTGGCCAGCCCCTATCTCACACAGCCCAACAAGCTACTGATGCAGACTACAAAGGTATTTATTTGGACAGGTCAAGGATACATGCAATCTACTGGGATTAGTGGCTAACGCCAGAGCTGGAGTAGGGGGACAGAGCAGATACAGAAGTCACAGGCCAGTACCAGCCTAAACTCAAATTAAGTATATGGAAGCCCTTAAAGTGAAGGACCCACACAGAACCCAACAAGTCAGCACTGGTGAGAGGGGGAAGCCTTTGAGCATTAGAACCAATTGGTGTCATCACTCCCTGCTCCAGACTCATTTTAGGTTCCATTTGCCTGCAGAAGATTTCGCTTCCCTGCACCAAAATCTTCAGTAGAAGAGGCCCAAGCTCCATGCATCTCACCCACAACTCCAGCCTAGCCACTAGTCCTCTAGAGAGTTCCGACAAGCACATTGCCACCTTCTCCATGGCCCCTTGGTGCGTTGGAGCCATGCCCAGTTCCCACTTGGCCACGCAGCTGTTCTCAAATGGAGCAGTCTCTTCATAAAAGACGGAGCCAGTTCTACTTCACAAGTGGAAGCTCAAAGAACATCAGACAAAACCCAGATGGCATGACAATTAGCATGTTCTCCAGATGCCAGTCCATCTCACCTCCCTGCCAAAGGTTGAGCCATTTGACTGGTCATGCTTCCATCCAGTCCCCATAAAGCTCCCTAGCAGGAAGAGGAGTGCCCCAAGGAGAAGATACAGAGTGGCAGTCCTTTAGTACAAGGCCCAGCAAACTCTTCCCTTTAAAAACTGCTATTCCACAATATTTGCATAAAAATCCATTTGTAAAATGTCCCAGCAGAGCCCAGTGTCCATTGTGCAATGGAGGGTGGAGGCAGAGGACCAAGAAAAAAAAAAGGCACATTGAGCAAACTAATTCAGACAGCTGGGCATCTGGTTCACCAGAGACTGAGTTGATGTGGGGAGGCCAGGTGAAGGATCACCATGTCTTCATGCAAGCTCTGAAGGTTGTTAGACATGATGAATGGTTCAAGTGCGGAGGACTTTATCTACAGGTGCAGGACTCTGCTATCATGTCTTCATACTCTTTGTAGAGGATGCTGCCACTAGGCTCAATCATCAGCACGCTGATGGGACTATACTTGTAGGGCACGCAGGAGGGTCGGGGGACACTCTGGTCCACCAGCTGGTTGATGAAGTTCTGCACGATGGCATGGTTGGGGGAGTTGTAGCCATAGCGTAGGATGCGGGGGCATGTGCCCTTGCAGTATTTGGGGTTGTACCGGTGCGGGGCTATGATCCAGTGGTCCCAGCCCAGCTGGTTGAAGCTGACCCGGAAGGAGCGGAGAGCACACTCGTCCTTCTCAGCGCTGGTCTTCTGCGAGTAGCTGGGGAGATCCAGAATGAGGTTGCCTGCCTGGCGAGCTTTGCGACTCAGCACTGGCCCATCAGGAGTTTCCTTCAAGCCAGCTTCCCCCAGCTTGGCCCGGAGGCCCTGCCGAGTGTCATTGAGGTAGAGCAACAGGAAAGGGTCATTCAAGGAAGCAGTCTTCTCCCAGCCAACTTCAGGCTCTGAGCCATCAGCTGGTCCCAGACAGCTACACACATGATTAAGGCGGAGCAGCTGGCTCTTCTTGGAGTCCCAGGCCCATGGCAAAGAGTGGGAGGTGATGTCCCTCTCCTCCCAGCTGTCCATCCTAGAGGAGACAAGGGCATTCCTCTTGCCTCTTCGAGGGGGTGAGAGCTTTGGAACCCCAGCTTCCCCAGCCAACTGAACCACACAAAAGAGCTGGGCATGAGCCAGCAGCAGAGTCTTAGAATAAACCACAGTGGCTCTCACCAAATGTTCCATTCCTGGCTGGACATTCAGGTGGTAGTTGAGAGTCTGCATGTACCAGGGACCTGTGAGGGGAGGGAGGAGATGGTAGTTAGTGTTCCCAAAAGCAAGATAGAACAACCTCAAACTTACATACAAGCCATTTTGGTAAGTTTGTGCCCACACTCCTGGAACAGCCAGTTCCCCCTTTCACCCTCCCCTCCTAGAACTGCCCACACCCACCTAGGAAGTAGCTCAAACACTCCCATGCATCTCCTGAAGGCCTCAAAGGGGCACTAAGAATGACCTGGATAGATGGGGCTTTCTGCCCAGTTTGCTTCTTAGAAAAAGGGCCACATGGGTTTTTTGTTTTTGTTTTGACGGAGCAGGGAGCAGGGCAGATTTGACCTGGGAATGTTGCAGGGGGATTGCAGTGAGGAGGGGGGACTTCCCTTGAAGGAAGCTACCTGAGCTGTAACCTGAGCCA